TGAACCTGTTCTAACACATTCAGAACCTGTTTTGAACCTGTTCTAACACATTCAGAACCTGTTTTGAACCTGTTCTAACACATTCAGAACCTGTTTTGAACCTGTTCTAACACATTCAGAACCTGTTCTGACATGTTCAGAACCTGTTCTAACATGTTCAGAACCTGTTTTGAACCTGTTGTCAGTCAGTGTTTGTTGGTGGGTCAGCTCAGAGGAGTGGTTCTACCTGCAGTGCAGAACCTGTCAGGTCTGGACTCTCTCTGTGGAGCTCCACACAGAAGGATCCTCCTGCATGGCTAGAGTCTGGTTTACAAAYTTCAGCATCCCTTCCAGTGAGGTGACATCAGGGTCCTCCTGCTGACCCACCACRGTGCTCACAGACCCCGTCATGTTCTCTCTCTGCTGCTCGTCRTCTGCTTCCTGCTCTGCGAGAGCCTCCGTGCTGAGTTCTCCATCGTTCTGTTTGTCCACCATGTAGGTCAGAGGGTTGAAGGACAGGTCAGAAACTGTGCTGGTCTCTGTGGCGCTGAGCCCCTGCCAGCTGTGGTCCATTGTTTCTGAGAAGGAAGAAGCTGAGGGAGATGAGGACCTCCAAGCCCTCTTGTTGAAAACCTCTCTCATGGTGGCTTTAAGGCTGAGGGGGAGGTCCAGGGAGGAGCTGAGGCTGCTGTGAAGCCAGTCGCAGGCTGAGTGGCTCTCAGACAGCTGGAGGGCCGAGCTGGGCTGAGGACCTGTGTGAGCGGGCTGCGTGYGTGTCAGAGGGTGGTCCGGAGAGCGCCCAGCTGTCTGTGGCTGTCTGACAGGTGAGGGAGCAGAGGTGCAGGGTTCTGACGGGTCTGTACCTGTGTGCAGGACAGGAAGTGAGTGTGTGTGAGCCATCAGCTTCTGTTGTTCAGCAGCTYGTCCCAGACTTGAAGTCCTGGCCTGGACATGGGTCGCCTCAGAGTCCTGTCAGGAGATAAGAGTTCTGATGAACATGGTTCAGAGTAGGGTCAGGTGAGGTGTAGGGCTGCAACAACGAATCCATAAAATTGATTATTAAAAGTGTTGGCAACAAATTTCATTATTGATTTGTTGTGTCGCACGATTTACACGTCCCTCGCTGTGTCGCGGATCCGTTTACGTCACCTGCAGAGTGTTGTCAACGCTAAATAAAGTTCAGGAAGAAAAAAACTGTAAACATCCGCCCTCCCTCTCTGAGACTCTCGAGTGAAAAATAGAGACTTTTAAATCGTGTTGTTAGGCCAAGTAGACCCGAAGTTATGATAAAAAGTATACACCACAGTTAATGTTTTTAAAAGATGGTCTGATCTGATGCGAGCCGCATCGCGAGGAGGAAAGG